ATGTTGAACTCAAATACCTGTACTTTCTACTTCTTACATGTTGAACTCAAATACCTGTACTTTCTACTTCTTAACATGTTGAACTCAAATACCTGTACTTTCTACTTCTTACATGTTGAACTCTAATACCTGTACTTCTACTTCTTACATTTTGAACACAAATACCTGTACTTCTACTTCTTACATGTTGAACTCAAATACCTGTACTTTCTACTTCTTACATGTTGAACACTAATACCTGTACTTTCTACTTCTTACATGTTGAACTCAAATACCTGTACTTTCTACTTCTTACATGTTGAACACAAATACCTGTACTTTCTACTTCTTACATGTTGAACTCAAATACCTGTACTTTCTACTTCTTACATGTTGAACTCAAATACCTGTACTTTCTACTTCTTACATGTTGAACACAAATACCTGTACTTTCTACTTCTTACATGTTGAACTCCAAAACCTGTACTTTCTACTTCTTACATGTTGAACTCCAATACCTGTACTTTCTACTTTCTTTTACATGTTGAACACAAATACTGTACTTCTTCTACTTCTTACATGTTGAACTCAATACCTGTACTTTCTACTTCTTACATGTTGAACTCAAATACCTGTACTTTCTACTTCTTACATGTTGAACTCAAATACCTTACTTTCTACTTCTTACATGTTGAACACAAATACCTGTACTTTCTACTTCTTACATGTTGAACTCAAATACCTGTACTTTCTACTTCTTACATGTTGAACACAAATACCTGTACTTTCTACTTCTTACATGTTGAACTCAAATACCTGTACTTTCTACTTCTCACATGTTGAACTCAAATACCTGTACTTTCTACTTCTTACATGTTGAACTCAAATACCTGTACTTTCTACTTCTCACATGTTGAACACAAATACCTGTACTTTCTATTCTCACATGTTGAACACAAATACCTGTACTTTCTACTTCTTACATGTTGAACTCAAATACCTGTACTTTCTACTTCTTACATGTTGAACTCAAATACCTGTACTTTCTACTTCTTACATGTTGAACACAAATACCTGTACTTTCTACTTCTTACATGTTGAACTCAAATACCTGTACTTTCTACTTCTTACATGTTGAACTCAAATACCTGTACTTTCTACTTCTTACATGTTGAACTCAAATACCTGTACTTCTACTTCTTAATGTTGACACAAATACCACTGTATTTCTACTTCTTACATGTTGAACTCAAATACCTGTACTTTCTACTTCTCACATGTTGAACTCAAATACCTGTACTTTCTACTTCTTACATGTTGAACTCAAATACCTGTACTTTCTACTTCTCACATGTTGAAACAAATACTGTACTTTCTACTTCTTACATGTTGAACACAAATACCTGTACTTTCTACTTCTTACATGTTGAACCCAAATACCTGTACTTTCTACTTCTCACATGTTGAACTCAAATACCTGTACTTTCTACTTCTCTCATGTTGAACTCAAATACCTGTACTTTCTACTTCTTACATGTTGAACCCAAATACCTGTACTTTCTACTTCTTACATGTTGAACTCAAATACCTGTACTTTCTACTTCTCACATGTTGAACCAAATACCTGTACTTTCTACTTCTACATGTTGAAACCCAAATACCTGTACTTCTACTTCTTACATGTTGAACTCAAATACCTGTACTTTCTACTTCTTACATGTTGAACTCAAATAATCTGTACTTTCTACTTCTTACATGTTGAAAACAAATACCTGTACTTTCTACTTCTCACATGTTGAACTCAAATACCTGTACTTTCTACTTCTTACATGTTGAACACAAATACCTGTACTTTCTACTTCTTACATGTTGAACCCAAATACCTGTACTTTCTACTTCTACATGTTGAACTCAAATACCTGTACTTTCTACTTCTCACATGTTGAACACAAATACCTGTACTTTCTACTTCTTACATGTTGAACACAAATACCTGTACTTTCTACTTCTCACATGTTGAACTCAAATACCTGTACTTTCTACTTCTCACATGTGAACTCAAATACCTGTACTTTCTACTTCTTACATGTGAACTCAAATACCTGTACTTTCTACTTCTTACATGTTGAACTCAAATACCTGTACTTTCTACTTCTCACATGTTGAACTCAAATACCTGTACTTTCTACTTCTTACATGTTGAACTCAAATACCTGTACTTTCTACTTCTTACATGTTGAACTCAAATACCTGTACTTTCTACTTCTCACATGTTGAACACAAATACCTGTACTTTCTACTTCTCACATGTTGAACTCAAATACCTGTACTTTCTACTTCTTACATGTTGAACTCAAATACCTGTACTTTCTACTTCTCACATGTTGAACTCAAATACCTGTACTTTCTACTTCTCACATGTTGAACACAAATACCTGTACTTTCTACTTCTTACATGCTGAACACAAATACCTGTACTTTCTACTTCTTACATGTTGAACTCTAATACCTGTACTTTCTACTTCTTACATGTTGAACTCAAATACCTGTACTTTCTACTTCTCACATGTTGAACACAATACCTGTACTTTCTACTTCTTACATGTTGAACTCAAATACCTGTACTTTCTACTTCTTACATGTTGAACACAAATACCTGTACTTTCTACTTCTTACATGTTGAACACAAATACCTGTACTTTCTACTTCTTACATGTTGAAACTCTAATACCTGTACTTTCTACTTCTTACATGTTGAACTCTAATCCTGTACTTTCTACTTCTTACATGTTGAACACTCAAATACCTGTACTTTCTACTTCTTACATGGTTGAACTCAAATACCTGTACTTTCTACTTTCTCATGTTGAACTCAAATACCTGTACTTTCTACTTCTTACATGTTGAACACAAACCCTGTACTTTCCTACTTCTTACATGTTAACCAAATACCTGAACTTTCTACTTCTCACATGTTTGAACTCAAATACCTGTACTTTCTCTCTCTCACATGTTGAACACAAAACCTGTACTTTCTACTTCTTACATGTTGAACTCAAATACCTGTACTTTCTCTTCTACTTCTTACATGTTGAACTCAAATACCTGTACTTTTCTACTTCTTACATGCTGAACACAAATACCTGTACTTTCTACTTCTTACATGTTGACACTCTAATACCTGTACTTTCTACTTCTTACATGTTGAACCTCAAATACCTGCACTTTCTACTTCTTACATGTTGAACTCCAAATACTTGTACTTTCTACTTCTTACATGTTGAAACTCAAAATACCCTGAACTTTCTACTTCTCACATGTTGACACACAAATACTGTACTTTCTACTTCTTACATGTTGAACCCCAAATACCTGTACTTTCTACTTCTTACATGTTGAACTCTAATACCTGGTACTTTCTACTTCTTACATGTTTGAACTCAAATACCTGTACTTTCTACTTCTCACATGTTGAACTCAAATACCTGTACTTTCTACTTCTTACATGGTTGACTCTAATACCTGTACTTTCTACTTCTTACACTGTTGAACTCAAATACCTGTACTTTACTTACTTCTCACATTTGAACTCAAATACCTGTACTTTCTACTTCTCACATGTTGAACACAAATACCTGTACTTTCTACTTCTTACATGTTGAACTCAATACCTGTAACTTTCTACTTCTTACATGTTGAACTCAATACCTGACTTTCTACTTCTCACATGTTGAACACAAATACCTGTACTTTCTACTTCTCATGTTTGAACACAAATACCTGTACTTTCTACTTCTCACATGTTGAACTCAAATACCTGTACTTTCTACTTCTTACATGTTGAACTCAAATACCTGTACTTTCTACTTCTTACATGTTGAACTCAAATACCTGTACTTTCTACTTCTTCACATGTTGAACTCAAATACCTGTACTTTCTACTTCTCACATGTTGAACTCAAATACCTGTACTTTCTACTTCTTACATGTTGAACTCAATACCTGTACTTTCTACTTCTTCATGTTGAACTCAATACCTGTACTTTCTACTCTTACCTGTTGAACTCAAATACCTGTACTTTCTACTTCTCTCATTTCCAAACCAGCTGGTTCCTTTAGTCTGAATGTGTGTTTGATGCGTGATCATTATTCTTTAGAGTCATTGCGTGCCTATTGATTTGAACACGATCCGTGTATCCATCATTTCCTGGTCTTCTCTAAAGAAGAGGGACCAATGGAAACGTTGTCATGTTGCCGTTGTTCAGCATGGAGGAAACATTCATTAGCTAACAATGACATTATTGTTCTATTAATATAAAGGGAGGTCAGGTACTCTTTAAAGCAGCTGCTAGTTATGGGTACTTTTTACTGAAGTACATTTCAAAGCCTCTTTACTTTGACTTGAGTAAAGAAGTTTAGTCAGTACTTCTACTTTTACCATCTTTAAACACGAGTATCTGTACTTCTACTTGAGTAAAAGATGTGTGTACTCTTACCATCTCACTCAGTAACACACTTACATCTGGTCATTATAATATGGAAGTTATAAAGTTCCTACCCTCCATCAGGACCCTGAACACATCCTTTGAAATGGGAATCGTCGTCCCCAGAACCAGAACTGAGAACAGGAACGTGCAGATGGGATCTGCTACTTTATATTCAGGCTGTGGAGGAAAACACACATCTGATTATAAACTAATATTCAACCACATATTCAACTTCAATTTAAGAAGTTTGGGTTATTTAGATTCCAAAACATGTCTTTTTTTAAACTAGTGGAAAGAAACTCCCAAATCCACATCTTTAGGGGTTTATTTGACCGCTTGTGTTTGCAGATTTCTTACAGAAGAAGTATTATGCTACGTTCACACCGGACGCGATGCGACGTTTGGGGGCGGCGCGATTACATGTAAAGTCAATGCAGAGACACGATCAGACGCGAATTCGCTCCGACGGCGAGCATGAAGCGGTGGACGCGGCGCGAATCACGCGATTGAAGGGGGCCGCGTCAAACGCGAGAGTTCAATTTTTTCAACTCGAGCGTCAAATTCACGTGACGCGTTCTCGCGGTAGCCAATCAGCGGTGAGGATCTCAGCCTGCCGTCACTGACGTTCAACCAGAAAACATCAGCCATTAGCTGTTAGCGGTTAGCACACAGAGCTCACAGCTCCTCATATCTGTTCAGAAACTGGACACAAGTTAAACAAGAACACACCACAGACTGTCTGTGTCATGGAGAATACAGTCGCTGCTTTATTTATGTCTGTAGGCCGTTGTTATGAGTGTGGAGTGATCATATACAACGTTAGCTTAGCCTGGTCGACCCAATCTCTATTCAGAAAACAAGCATCTTAAAAGGTGTTTCATTCGCGTATGATCGCGTCTCTGCATTGACTTTACATGTAATCGCGCCGCCCCCAAACGTCGCATCGCGTCCGGTGTGAACGTAGCATAAGGCCTGCTTTCTCCAACACATTACAGCCTGATAATGACAGCTGCAATTCTCTGCATCGCCTCGTTCACACATTAAATCAACGATACAACAACAACTACTAGAAAGCGTTTCCTTCAGGAGAGATTTAAAATGAAATGAAATGTAGAAATGTAGACTACATTTATTACGGAGTTTATGTCCAGCAGACTCACAGATCGTTTTACAGAGAGAAATGCAAAATGTAAGTACGTCCTCCGCTGTGGATTTTCTAAAATAAATACAGTAACACTTTGGTTCAGGCCCAAGTTTAACATGAACTCAACTTTAAACACAAGTTCATTTACACTGCTCCATTTATTTAGCATTGTTTACGCACGCATTGACTGCGTGTCTCTGTCGCTCCTATACTATATTGGGCCAGGGGCAGCACTGGCTTTAAGTCTGAATATTTGCAAAAGCTAACCCCCCCTTAGCTAACATGGTTTGTAATGCTAGCATGCTTAAATAAGAGGGTGTAAACATTAGAGTAGCTTAGCATTAGCATGTTAGCATTAGCATGTTAGCATGGATGTGTTTTTGGCTGACCCTGAAGTGTATGATGGTTGCAGCCAGCAGCACCCCAAAACTCTGCAGCAGATCCCCGACAACGTGAACAAAAGCTGCCCGAACACTGGCATTGTGTCCATGATGGAGGTCAGGGTGAAGGTCGTGATGGTGAAGGTCATGATGAAGGTCACGCTGTTTGTCAGTCTGCAGTCTGGCGGGGGGAAAGCTGTGGTTGTGACCGTGTGAAGCTCCGGACTGATGAAGAATCAGGACCATCCTGCAGGGGGAAAGTGGAGATAGTTTAGTATATAGTATAGTTTCAATGATGAAAAGTATTCAGATCTTGTACTTGAGTAAAAGTAGAAGTACTCAGATCTTGTACTTTAGTAAAAGTAGAAGTACTCAGATCTTGTACTTGAGTAAAAGTAGAAGTACTCAGATCTTGTACTTGAGTAAAAGTAGAAGTACTCAGATCTTGTACTTTAGTAAAAGTAGAAGTATTCAGACCTTGTACTTTAGTAAAAGTAGAAGTACTCAGACCTTGTACTTTAGTAAAAGTAGAAGTACACAGATCTTGTACTTGAGTAAAAGTAGAAATACACAGATCTCGTACTTGAGTAAAAGTAAAAGTACTCAGATCTTGTACTTGAGTAAAAGTAGAAGTACTCAGATCGTGTACTTGAGTAAAAGTAGAAGTACTCAGATCTTGTACTTGAGTAAAATTAGAAGTACTCAGATATTGTACTTTAGTAAAAGTAGAAGTACTCAGATCTTGTACTTGAGTAAAAGTAGATGTACTCAGATCTTGTACTTGAGTAAAAGTAGAAGTACTCAGGTCTTGTACTTGAGTAAAAGTAGAAGTACTCAGATCTTGTACTTGAGTAAAAGTAGAAATACTCAGATCTTGTACTTGAGTAAAAGTAGAAGTACTCAGATCTTGTACTTGAGTAAAAGTAGAAATACTCAGATCTTGTACTTGAGTAAAAGTAGAAGTACTCAGATCTTGTACTTGAGTAAAAGTAGAAGTACTCAGACCTTGTACTTTAGTAAAAGTAGAAGTACTCAGACCTTGTACTTGAGTAAAAGTAGAAATACACAGATCTCGTACTTGAGTAAAAGTAAAAGTACTCAGAATGTACTCCAGGTGGAACTAAAGTACCTTAAACTTGTGCTTAAGTACTGAGTAAATGTACTTAGTTACTTCCCTCCTCTGGATGTTAGCTGTTTTTACTCACAGCACGTTGACCCCCACCGCCCCCCCCTGATGTTATGAGCATGATGAAACTGTCGATCTCGTAATCTCCATCAGAAATCCTCCGAGCGGCGGAGATCAGCAGCAAAACCGTCACGATCCAGATGGAAAACACCGACAGCAGCATGCCCAGGATCTCTGAGGGTCAGTGGGGGAAATATTAAACTAACAGGTATCACAATGAAACCCAACCGGTTCATTACTGACATTAACACAAGTACTTTTTACATTACAAGTTTTCTGACAGGTGATGTTTTAGATATGCAAATGAGGCGTTAAAATGCGAATTGTTGGTGAATTTAGGAGAAATCTGCAGATACATTAAAGAAGTAAAACAATGAATTATCTTTAACCCATAAGAACCCAGACCCAATTCTACTTTTGGGGAAATTAAGGGGAACATAATTTAGACCAGGGGGGTCCAACTCAAATACACAGTGGGCCAAAATAAAAAATGGGCATTAGTCGAGGGCCGGACTGGTTCAATGTTTATTGCAGAACTTATTGAAATGAACTTATTGCACATATTAAACCTGGAACTAACAAAGCTTCAATTATTGCCTATAAAAACAACATTAAATAATCAGCTGTATTCATTTCTTATGGCTCTATCGGCAGCTTCTCCAGAGTCATTTCTTATGAGTACATTTTCCCACAGGCCAACAACAGCTTCAACAAAACTATTCCCCTCAAAGAGAAAACCAAACATGCCCTGTTGTCGTGAGAGAAAGTGCAGAAGGAAGCATCCATTAAACTCAGTGTGCTGCTCTGTGATGCTAGTTCAGATACTTGGCCTCTCATCTTGGGTGCAAGGTCATCAATGTTTGGGCTCAGGCTCTGAGCGGAGGAGACCCTCAGGATGGAGTGAAGGTGTGCGTGCAATATACCGGAGGGCCAGATCTAATAGGAATTAGAAATTATCCTGCGGGCCGAAATTCAATCCACCACGGCCCTGATTTGGCCCCCGGGCCTCGAGTTTGACACATGTGCTTTAGACCATATAGTTGAACACATTTCGGACAAGTAACACCACCGAGTGTCAAACATCTGAAAAGTGAGATATATGTCACATTGGGCGATAATGGTAAAGTAATGGTTATTAATAACTTAATTAATGAGGATGATTTTTTTGTTTGAAATTTCTTTAAACATTCTTTGAATTGAAGAATATAGAATATATTAACTAAATATCCTTGAATCATGATCATATTTCTAATTGTGACATGTCACTCTAGATTTACTGAGAAAGTTTAAGGTTAAAGTCTCGATGTGAAATTAACGATATTTATCTTATTTGTTTCATATCAATTTGATCAAGAAATGTTTTCACAACAGGTTCAATGTAATAAAGGACATGTTGTGTAAGCATTATAATTCTTTAATGGCTTGAATCTTAAAGGGGACCTATCATGCAAAAGTCACTTTTTGATGTCTTCTCTACATCAACATGTGTCCCCGCTGTGTCCCCCCGCTGTGTCCCCACTGTGTCCCCTCTGTGTCCCCCCGCTGTGTCCCCGGTGTGTCCCCTCTGTGTCCCCCCGCTGTGTCCCCGTTGTGTCCCCCCGCTGTGTCCCCGGTGTGTCTCCGTTGTGTCCCCGTTGTGTCCCCGGTGTGTCGGGGAACTCACGCAGCGTCAGAAAATAGAACCCTCTCTCTTTTCCTCCGTACCCAAATCTCTAAAAACGGGGAACAACGGAGCTGATCCAGATTTGCGTCCGATATGACGTAATATCTGAAATGTGGACCCACGGCCCAATCAGAAACGTTGCTATCAGAAACAATGCCCGACTGTTTTGGACGTAATATGTTTAATAAGTAAAGCAATGATTTATCTCTAAATATGATATTTCTGCTTTAAAGTGCAGAGACCTGCTCGATGCCATCCGAAGGTCATGGAGTCAGTCTTTGGTCTGGAGGAGAGCCACAGAGAGAAGCAGCTGATGGAGATGCTGCAGACGTCCGTCAGCAGGTGCGCTGCGTCCGTCATGATGGCCAGACTCTGAGCGAAGTATCCACCTAAGGGGGTAACAGTGTCATTTGAACTGTTACCGGGCAGAACTGGGCAGTTAGTAATACTTTAATTGACTTAATTGATTACTGTATCTGTTAATTGATCCAATCATATCCTGTTGAAGTGAAGTTATGAGATGCATTTATCTGTTTTAGGATTGGTTGATATTGTGAAGAATGTGATGTCTGGATATGTTTTAGTTGTTACTGCAGGAATAATGAAAAGGAAAACAAATATTTGGAATAAGCTTTAAATAATAGTTGAAATTTGTAGTTTCTTTGGCTCCTCCCCCTTCTCACCGACCACCTCCCCGGTCATGAAGACGAGGCTGACGACGGCGGCCATGATGAGCTTCTTCCTCGCCGAACGCCTCGCGACGCTTTCCTCCGGCAGAGTGTCCGAGTCCCTGCAGAACCGGGAGGGAAACCCTGCGTCTTCGTCTGCACCGGATTCTGAGTCTGAACTGGACCTGAGCAGAGGGGGGGTATTATTTGTTTATTTCAGAAATCTAATATTGAAGTCAGAATTCTTAAAAAAATATTTTTTGAAAAAATAAGAAATATATATTTTTCAGTTTCTTTAAAAAAAATTAAAAGTCTGAAAATATTTTCAAGACTCTTTAAGACTTTGACCTCAACGTTCTGAGGATAATAAAAGTAATATATTCTTTAATGAAAATCTCAGAATTCTGACATGTTCCAGAGAATACTGAGGAGAAAAATATATAACTTATTTTCTTTGAATTTCAGAAATTCGACTTTAATCTGAGAAATAAATCAGAAATCTGGGGAGATTTTCAGATTTTGTTGTTATTTTCTTCTCAGAATTGTCCCTTTAATCTCAGGGCGGTGGTGCTTAGGGACTTGGCAACTGGAAGGTCACCAGTTCAAGTCCCGGCAAGACCAAGTGCTACCGAGGTGTCCCTGAGCAAGGCACCGTTCCCTAAACTGCTCCCCGGGCGCCGTACATAATGGCAGCCCACTGCTCCTAACACTAGGATGGGTCAAATGCAGAGAAACCGTTGTGTTACATAGAACCTGTACTAAGTGACAATAAAAGGAAAACAAACAAAAAATAACTGAGAGAAAAATAAATCTATTTTTGTTTTCGGAAAATATCAGAATCCCGACTTTCTTCCCAGACATCTAACTTTAATCTCAGAACATCTTAACGCACGGACAAACCAGGCCGACGATAAGCGTCGACACGCCCTACTCAGATTGGTGTGTCCCGCACCGTCGGGTCTTTTCAGCCGGGCCGACGCCTTTTCGGCCGAAAACCGCCGGCCAAAGGCAGTCGGCAAAATAAATCACTCTGATTGGCTGTTCAGCTAGCGAATCAGTGCATGAGAAGCAAAACGGAAGTGAGGGACCCAAACAAACTATTAAGAAGGCAAATCTGAGCTTTCCCTGAACTCCAGCTCTCGACAGGTTCGGGAAAGCCCCGTGAGCTTCTCGCTGTAGAGGGAAAATGGAAGCACAGGCTATTTGTTGTTTGTTTATATCACGCAGCCTGTTCTTCTTCTCTGTCTTCCGGTTGTTGCCTCTTTTGAATGACGAATACACGCTACCGCCGCCTGCTGGTAAGGAGAGTTATTGCCACTCACGAATGCGCAGTTCGTACGTGCTTCTTGGCCGTCGGCTGAAGTCTTGTCGGTGTGTTCCAGTGCGACACATGGCCGAGACGCAGAGACGTGAGGCGACGCCACAGTCGGGTCCGTCTGTGTCAGTTCTTTGCTGTCAGCTTGGTGTGTCCGGGCCTTTAGACGTTTTCCCAGCATTTTGAAATTTTCAGAAAACAACATTTTTTTCTTCTTTTCTTAGAGTTCAGATTTTTTAAGTCAGACATTTTATTTTTCAGGATTCTAACTTTAGGTCAGATCTCATGTTGCCCTGATCCCCTTCTGTAGCGTGAAGCCAGACATGAGAGGATTAAGATTATAAAAATGTACCGTCCGAGAGGATCCGGATGAATCAGAAGCTGCTTTTCTGAATCCTCCGATAGCTCCATTTATTCTGCCTGTCCGTTTCAATAAAGTTCAACTGGAGCTGGTTCTCCTGTAAACTGGTTCTCCTGTCAACTGGTTCTCCTGTAAACTGGTTCTCCTGTCAACTGGTTCTCCTGTCAACTGGTACTCTGGTTCTCCTGTAAACTGGTACTCTGGTTCTCCTGTAAACTGGTACTCTGGTTCTCCTGTAAACTGGTACTCTGGTTCTCCTGTAAACTGGTACTCTGGTTCTCCTGTAAACTGGTACTCTGGTTCTCCTGTAAACTGGTACTCTGGTTCTCCAGTAAACTGGTACTCTGGTTCTCCTGTCAACTGGTTCTCCTGTAAACTGGTACTCTGGTTCTCCTGTCAACTGGTACTCTGGTTCTCCTGTCAACTGGTACTCTGGTTCTCCTGTAAACTGGTTCTCCTGTAGTTTTAAATGCAGGTGTATCTGGAATCCTTCCACCTGCTGCAGCTCTCTTTTCTCCCAGAGGAGGAGCAGCAGCAGCCAATAGCAGGCGAGCTCAGAGCAGCAGCAGCCAATAGCAGGCGAGCTCACAGCTGCAGCAGCCAATAGCAGGCGAGCTCACAGCTGCAGACGTCACAATGAAAACACAGATTTAAGATTTCAAGACATCTTTATTTTATCAGACAAATATTTTACAGAAACAGACATTTGTCAAAGTTTAAAAAATGGCACAATTAGCCGAGGAATGTTGAGATGATAAAAACAAATATATCTATTTTTTTTCTGTTCGTCTTTTGTTTTTAAAGTTTGATTAAAACAATACATATATATATATATATATATATATATAATATATTTATTGTTAACATTTGATCCAAATAATTGAAAAATAATCCCAATAAAAAAAGTATGTAATCTGGCACTTTAGTGGGTTTTCTGTCGAGTAAACAAAACATTTCTAAAATTGTTTAAATTTCAATCGAAGTCAGAATAAAATAATCTAAAATTAAGATTTTTTTTTATTTGTACAAAACGCAGAAACCTGACATTCCTACACCCAGCAGATAAACAAACACAAACATGATGACATAAGTTAAGGAGTTTTATCTTAATATACACTTAATTTGTAATAAAACCTCCAATGAAAAATATACCTCTGAATTTACATCGTCTCTCACTTCCTCGACTCATCTGAGAATATCCATCCCAACATTTGGCCATAACTGTGTTTTAGCAGGAAGTGTTGTTCAGTAAATATCAGACGATAAGAAGGAGCTTTATCAGTACCTTAAGAAGTATTGAAGGTCACCTTAAGAAGTGTTGGAGGTCACCTTAAGAAGTATTGGAGGTCACCTTAAGAAGTATTGGAGGTCACCTTAAGAAGTATTGGAGGTCACCTTAAGAAGTATTGGAGGTCACCTTAAGAAGTATTGGAGGTCACCTTAAGAAGTATTGGAGGCCACCTTAAGAAGTATTGGAGGTCACCTTAAGAAGTGTTGGAGGTCACCGTAAGAAGTGTTGGAGGTCACCTTAAGAAGTATTGGAGGTCACCTTAAGAAGTGTTGGAGGTCACCTTAAGAAGTATTGGAGGTCACCTTAAGAAGTATTGGAGGTCACCTTAAGAAGTGTTGGAGGTCACCTTATGTGCAGGAACAGTAATAAGAAAACAAATGAAGGGAAATACGCTTTATTTTTTAGATTTATGTGCCTTAGATGTCTGTTTTACCCAGGTATGGAGCTGAAGTCAAGAAATAAGTAGCCGAGGTCTGCAAAACGACTGCAAAGAAGGAAAAGCACTATCTTAGCTTAGCATAGAGCAGTAATACAGGCAGAAACAGCTAGCTTAGCTTAGCATAGAGCAGTAATACAGGGAGAAACAGCTAGCTTAGCATAGAGCAGTAATACAGGGAGAAACAGCTAGCTTAGCTTAGCATAGAGCAGTAATACAGGCAGAAACAGCTAGCTTAGCATAGAGCAGTAATACAGGGAGAAACAGCTAGCTTAGCATAGAGCAGTAATACAGGGAGAAACAGCTAGCTTAGCATAGAGCAGTAATACAGGGAGAAACAGCTAGCTTAGCTTAGCATAGAGCAGTAATACAGGGAGAAAACAGCTAGCTTAGCATAGAGCAGTATACAGGGAGAAACAGCTAGCTTAGCTTAGCATAGAGCAGTAATACAGGGAGAAACAGCTAGCTTAGCATAGAGCAGTAATACAGGGAGAAACAGCTAGCTTAGCATAGAGCAGTAATACAGGGAGAAACAGCTAGCTTAGCTTCGAATTAAGACAGAAAACTAGAAAGAAACGCTATCCTGGCTTTGTAAAAGTAGGCTACCTTACAATAGGAAGAAACGGCTAGTTTAGCTTAGCATAACAACTGGGAAATTAAATAGGAAAGTTAGCAAGGCTCTATTTTTTCTAACTGTGGTTTTAAGGGGAGTTGAATTCTGGAAATCAAAACAAGAGATACCCAAACTCCCAGAAACGTATTTTCAGGGCGTCTCAAATTATTAATGCTTATAGTGACGACAGCGAGTTTTAAAACCATGCTAACTTTCCCTACTACTTCCAGTCATTATGCTAAGCTAAGCTAAACACATCCTAGACTGCAGCTCCATACTCCATATTCTGTGGGTGTATTTTTGTTACTCTAAATACAGTTTAATTCAAAAACAAGTTATGATTATAAAATTATTTGTTGGTGATTTTTATCTAATGTAATGCCTGAAAATAACACAAATATGGACCCTTGTCTTTTCGGATATAGTGCTGTGTTGTCAATTAAAGACTAAGCAATTAAACACCTAATTTTGTTTAAGTTTTAGAAGGAAAGTGACTAAGCGTTTCTCCCATAATGTTGATCTAATCCTGTATTGTCCGTCAGCATCTCTGTTAATTCTACTATTTATTTACATCCAAACATACAGATGTCACAATACGCTGTTCATCATTTCAAAAAGCCCTATTTTCTATAATATGTGTTTATGTGCAGCGTGGCAGAACCCATCGAGTGGTTGGCTTTAAAGATAACATTTTGCATTAAAAAGTTTCAAAACATTTCGGCCGTCTTTGAGCCGAAACGTCGTCAGACCGTCGCGGCAGCTTTTCGATATTAAAGTGCACAAAGACAAATATATTCCAAAGCTTTGATCTGCATGGCTTTCGTCCCTGAAGTCCGACAGGAGATGGGACCAAAGACAAACCCACTGGTAGTTTAAAAAAAAGGAAAAATATGGCACAATATCACCACTAAAAATCTCTCTAAAGCGGTCGCTGATGGTCGGGGTTTCGTCCAATCACTTGATGCCGTTCGTGGCGTGAGGCTGAATCACGATGGGTGCATTTTCACCTGCAGGAAGAAAAAAAAGAGGACATTTATTAAGTTCCTACCGTCTTATTTCTAATTTTGCAGCAAAAGCAGCAACACGTAGAAGGTTGTTTCAAATGGAAAGACACATTAAAGAGAGGATTGTGCATCGGTACGGAAGAGGATTAGGGCCCCAAGTGAACTAAAACAAATACATATATATATTTTCACATGTGGTCGTAATCATCGTCCATGCATCGGGAATATTAATCGAAATAAGAACGACTTTCCCCAGAAGGAAATTAGCTTTTGTTAGAGTTGCTTTAAAAGTTATTAAAAAAACAGAGAAGATAAAAGTACAATTTGTGCAAATAAATATGTAAAATGACAATAAGATATTCTACCTTCAGATATTTGCTTTCCATCAGGTATCACGGATTCATGACATATAATAATGTTAAGCAACAGCTATAGAGAGGCGAAGTCCCGCCCTTCTACTTCTGACCCATGGGACCTTATTTCGGAAAAATTATGTATTGAAGTCAACGGAGAGAGAACGATTATCTTTCGATCCCGTTTGAATTGTGCCACGAATTACACACATGATGTTTGTCAATCTTAACAAATCATTTTCATGTCAAAAAAGTCACAGTTTGTCGTAAAACTGTTGAAATAAAAGACTATGAAAAATACGCAACTAGAAAGACTACAAATCCCAGAGTCCCGGTCCCGCATGCTGGCTCTCAGGAACCGACTAACTCCCCTTGTGTGTGTGCAGCTCTCAACGCGCCCAGACTTGGAGTGATTTTCACCTCTTTTAATACTTTCCGCCTCGTTCTGAAAGAAAGGAGTGAAATGTTTCAACGTGACGGCCGTCTGGGTGTGTGGTGCGCCGTAAGGGGGTGAAAAGGACGATTCTAAGGGCCCGTGACTGACAGGGGCCCCAACATTAAGAACAAATGTTTAAGTAACCTTTGATCAATCATCAACAATTAACATTAATATAACTTCATATTGATTGACTGACTAAACTTACGATTCATTTCACTTTTTTTCTTCCAAAAGTTAATTATCCAAAGCATCGAACACCCCCATCTATTTACATGTAATGGTTTGGTCCTGCCTCCAAACGCTGTGCGGCACCGGCACTTTCTAGCAGAGAGTGAGAGCATGTGAGGAGCAGGGATGCTAGTACTTACGTGAGTGCGATGTCTCAACGACTAACAAAGTCAGGCTTTCAACAAAGAAAAGAAAGGACAGAAAGACAAGAGAGAGGGACTAAAGGCCGACAGGATGTCACCCAGTTTTTCAAAGGAAAAGGTGGGTGTGGTCCATGAGTGGTGGAAATCAGTCTGTTAGCTAAGCTTAGTCCATTGTAAATAATAATTGTAATGTTTTGCTGACATTAAGTTCTGTTAATATCTTCACAGAAAATTCTGAGGTTTTTCATTTCACAAAATCCCTGATGGTGCGAGACGGGAGATGTAGCTCATTGAGCGGTTTCACACAAACAAAGTGTTACTTCACAGTTTTACGACACAATTGTATTTTTTTTACTTCCAAAATTATCTTTTAAATTGACAAACATCATATGTGTAATTCGTGGCACAATTCAAACGGGATTGAAAGATAATCTTTCTCTCTCCATTGACTTCAATACAGACTTGTTCTGAAATGAGGTCCCATGGAGGAAAGGGAGGGGCCTCGCCTCTCTATTGGTGTAAGCAAGCACATGTATTAATAAGCAACACAGGAAACAACGATGCCACATTTTAAAACAGCGTCCAGTAGAAGTGGTAGGAAGAAATGTTAGCAAGTGATTTGGCAAACAAAGCCAGGAGCTGCTGAAAACCAAACCTCCTCGATGGTAAAGCTTAAAGCTTGATGTTCTGTGAGTTAGTGAAGCAGCCGAGGAGAACTTTATAACTATAACTTTACCTGCGGAGTTGACGACTGTTTCTGAAGTGCCAGCGCTCGGCTGAATAATTATTACATGGTCTGCCGCTGTGAAAAAGAAAATGTCACACTGAGAAAACCCCCTCTACTTCTTATCATCAGTGTTTGCACCAGCTAAAGGTCAAAGGTGTTACAACCTTTCCACCTATAATGTTTCTGCAGCAGACGGTGAAGGACACTGCGATCTCGTACTCTTGGCTGCGCATTAACTGGGACATGATTGTGGTTTTAAAAAAATATGACCATGTAGGTAAAATAGAGCGGTGCAGGGATGACGTATTACCCTGAAGGAAGCCGCTGGTTCCCTCGACAACAAAGCAACGGGATTCCTCCAGAGGGTTTAGGGAAATAGCTGGAAATAAGGTCTGTGGAAAACCAACCTGTTTGATGAATGCACGTTTTGTTCAGCCGGATAATCTCCACATGTCTACTTTTATCATGTTCTAATCATAAATCTAATGTTCAACGTGGTGCTATAAACCACATGTGTCAAACTCGAGGCCCGGGGGCCAGATCAGGGCCGTGGTGGATTTAATTTCGGCCCACAGGATCATTTGTAATTCCTATTAGATCTGGCCCTCCGGTATATTGCACGCACACCTTCACTCCATCCTGAGGGTCTCCTCCGCTCAGAGCCTGAGCCCAAACATTGATGACCTTGCTCCCAAGATGAGATGCCAAGTATCTGAGCTAGCATCACAGAGCAGCACACTGAGTTTAATGGATGCTTCCTTCTGCACTTTCTCTCACGACAACAGGGCATGTTTGGTTTTCTCTGTGAGGGGAATAGTTTTGTTGAAGCTGTTGTTGGCCTGTGGGGAAATGTACTCATAAGAAATGACTCTGGAAAAGCTGCAGATAGAGCCATAAGAAATGAATGCAGCTGATTATTTAATGTTTAATGTTGTTTTTATAGGCGATCATTGAAGCTTTGTTAGTTCCAGGTTTAATATGTGCAATAAGTTCATTTCAATAAGTTCTGCAATAAACATTGAACCAGTCCGGCCCTCCACTAGCACCCATTTCTTAATGTTGGCCCACTGTGTGTTTGATTTTGACCCCCCCTGCTATAAAGGAACTACAGTGAGTCCAGCAGCACGACTTCAACGTCACGCCGACTTCAGATCCAGATTCAAACACACAGATTCTAAATGGAACGAGTTGAAGCTTTTGAACAGTCTGCAGGAGGCAGGGACTTGCTCTCAAGCAGAACAGAAACTAACTTAGAGGAGTGTTTACGTGTTCGGCGTAATGACGTACAACGTCCTCCACGACTTCTGTAGTCCTATTCAGCCACTTGGTAACAACCATCGTTTCTCAGACACGTCCACTCTTCAGAAATCACCAGTGGGGTCACTGCTGATGATTTCATGTCCTAGAACAAAACGTGATCCGTCTCTTCAATGTGTCTCAACCACAGACCTGATTTCAGATAGTCTCCTAAATCCTATGGAGAGATCCCATTGGCTCTGAGACGAGGGGACAGGAAGTGGAGAAATGCTGACTCACTTCCTGGTTTTAGGACTCATTCCTGCACCGCTCGACAGAAATCCACCACAACCTCTGACAGCTAATTCTGTCTAAAACACGGAAAAGGATAAAGCCAAAACTGCTCTGACGTTGGACAAAGTTTGACAACCAAATAACCAAATAGTGACTTGGTGAGATTCTTGTCACCAGGTCCCTCTCAGCTAGAATGTCCTGCTGCGATGTGGTTGTGAAATGCAACAAGCACTTTCACAACCACATCGTTGTGAAACCCAGCCACTTTGGCCTCAGGTGCTCGAGAACAGATGGGGAAACGCAGGTAGATCAACTTGTGGAAACAAGTACACTTGCGTGTCATCCTTGCACAAGGGGCCGTGCTAATCTTCTCTCTCACACAACGCAATAGAAAATGTGTGAATTCATTGTTGTCGACCTCGCTGTCTTTGTGATTTGTATAAACTGCCGGTTACTTCTGTCTGTATCTTTATGTGGGATTCATCCACAGAAAGGATGAAGCCAAAACCACCCTGACATCTCCTCTGCATCGTTTCCACTTTCTCAAGCCTCTCTTCCTGATCTGTGTCTCATGAGAGTTAGATATTTTCACGTGTGTCTTGGAATACAAAGGGACTAGAGATGTCCCGATCCGATCACGTGAATGGGGATCGGAGCCGATCACGTGATTTTCAAAAGATCGGAAAAAAAAAAAATCGGGGATCGGGATTTTTTTTTTTTTTATATAAAATATTTGTATTATTTTATTTAATGTTACAAAACAAAAATGACCATGTTCACGTCTTAAAGTCATCCTGAGGCCTTAGCTTTGGTTTAAAATGACACAACATCATGTGTTGCTTCTGTTGGGCTTGTTTTCAGACCTGGTTATTCCTCTCAAAGCAACAGAGTGGGCGCAGTGTCTGATAGCAGCTAACGAGAGGCTACGTTCAGCTCGGGAGTCGGGAGTCGGGACGGAGAAAATGTCAGGAGTTTGGAAGTATTATGAAATTGAAAGCGAAGGCAGTGTCACAGCCAGATGCAATGTTTACAAGGCGGAGGTTCCGCGTGGTGGAAAGAACAGAGCTACGTTCAACACGACCAATCCAATACGCCACCTGAGAAACAAACACCAACAGCAACAGGACGAGTGCACAGCGGCCACTCGGGTAACGGCACTGAAGCAACCGACACTTTAGAGGCTTTGAAAAGGAAAGAGAAACTGCCCAGAACCGTGAAAAGGCCAAAGCAATAACAGCAAGATAGCTGAATTCATCGCGTTGGATGACCAGCCTTTTTTCCTCTTAACGCATTGCATAAAGATCGGATCGGGAAAAATCGGTATCGGCAGATTGTCAAAATCAAATGATCGGAATCGGATCGGGAGCAGGACAAGGTGATCGGGAGCAGGACAAGGTGATCGGGAGCAGGACAAGGTGATCGGGAGCAGGACAAGGTGATCGGGACACTTGCCGTTTCAGATAACCCTTCTGACCGTGAATGAGTTGTTCCAGCAGCTGGATCATCCTACCTGCGTCCTGATTCCTGATCTCCGCCTCCAGGTCTTCAGGGTCCACATAGGCGAAGTTTTCCTGTTCTTCGCTCGTCTTGCATTTCCCACAACAGAAGCAGCAGCAGCAGAAGCAGCAGCAGCAGGTGAAGATCCCGCAGCAGACCACCAGGCCCTGAACACAGAGGGCAGGGAGAGGAGCTGAATTAGGATACAGCAGAAAAACGTTGTCGATGATCTACGAAATGATCAAGTTTCTGTTCGATTAAGTCCCTTGAAATAGATTTGTAAATAGTTTTAAATACATTTCTACAACGCTGCTTCAATTAGGAATGGGGCGATCCATAATTATTGCAGTTTTATTTCTTTTTTGGGGGAATCAACTTTTCAGTTGGTCAATTCTTTTTTTTTTGTCAATTTAAGTCAGCAATTTTTTATTCAACGTTTTTTTAAGTCAACTTTTTGTTTTAGTCAACTTCATTTTTGTCTAAAAAAAAATTCAGTTAACTTTTTTTTACGTCAATGTTCTTTCAACTTTTTTGTATTGGTCAATATTTTTTTAATTAAACTTTTTTTTTAACGTTTTTTGTCAACTTTTTTTGGTCAACATTTTTTTTCAGTTAACTTTTTTTTTAAAGGTCACCTATCATGCAAAATGCACTTTTGTACGTCTTTTAAACATGAATATGTGTCCCCGGTGTTCCAGGGAACTCACCACGTGTCAGAAAACACAACCCTCTCTATTTTCCTCCAAACCCAAATCTCTTAAAAAGGCGCTGCAGCGGATCTGATACAGACTGATCCAGATTTGAACACTTCTCTGATGTCACAGAAGTGGCGCAACGGCTATTGGGCCAACTCCACCAGTCAGGAGGAGACAGCGCTGGAGTACATATGCCAGGCCTGTAGGTGGCGCTGCTCTCACAGAATCAGCCCGTGCCAAGACAGTGTTAAATTGAGCGAAATGAGGAATGGCTAAAATGCATGATCTGTTTGGTATTTTGAAAAATAAAAAGTATAAATATGCCTTATAGGTTTGGTCCTACACTATATTATTCAAATACAGCATGATCGGTCCACTTTAAGTCAACGTTCTTTGCTCAACTTTTTTTTGGTCAACCTGATTGAAGAGTTTTTCGCCTGTCGGCCTCCATATGAAATGCACGTTTCCTCTCACCTTGAACCAGCACTTGGACATGAGGAAGTAATATTTGACGCTCTCGTCCCCAAACTGCTCGGCGACGTAGAGTCCCATCGAGCCGTACTCATCGTAGATCTTCCGTTTGTTCTCATCGCTGAGGATGGAGTTGGCGTTGTTGATTTCCTTGAATTTGTCCGCAGCCTCTGGGTTGTCTGGGTTCTTATCCGGATGATGCCTCAACGCCAGTTTCCTGTAAATAAGGGAGTGAGAGTATAACTTAGCTTTTTATTAGCAACCCCCCACTTTAAATGTTATTTTAGTCTTTATTATTTACCTCCCTTTATATTGTTTTATTTGTTTTATAGGTCTCAATCTTTTTATTTGTGTTGTAGCTATTAGGGCTGTACCCGAATATTCGAATATTCGTTCGTTGGAGTACTATTCGGGTTTAAATTTCGTTATTCGGATATTTGTTTTGTTTGTTTTTCCACCAAATTTTATTTATTGAAATCTCCAATATCAACGTAAGAGCTTGTGCCTCATCGGGGGGCGCTAACACTTAACCATAAACGTTATTGTTTACTTTCTCCGTCTTTATATGTAGATTACTTTTCTCCGTCTCCGTCACGTTGTTTCCAAAGAACTTCCTGTCAACAGCGCTACCTCTCCTTCAAAATAAAAGCATGTCCATAAATAGGAAGCCAAGCCAAATTACACTTAAGACATATACAACGAAAGTAACACAATGCCATATCCTTTTCAATTTCAAAGAACACAAATTTGGTTAATAACTATAAAACAACAATACTGTAGAATGACTAACTTAATGCCGTGAATACACCGAAATACACGTGCGGTTCGCTTCGTGCGGTTCGCTTCGTGCGGTTCGCTTCGTGCGGTTCGCTTCGGCCGAATATTCGCTGCTGATTACTACCGAATATCCGGAGCCCGAAAAATGGTATTCGGGACAGCCCTAGTTATAGGGCCATATGTTCACTTTGTTTTATATTTCATATTGTTGCATCGACTCAGTTGTCTTGTGTCTTATCCGTCAGAGAAAAACCATCAGTTCCTTTCCATTAGTGCACTCAAAGGGCCGGTTGGAACTTTAAGACTATATAAATATACATATATAATATATACAAAATAATGTATTATATTACATTATTGCCTCTGCATTGGATTATTATCTGATAGGGTAATAACTTCATAATTAACTACGTCTGAAAGCAGAAGTCTGGGGCAAATCATTGCAAGTCTCTTCAGTGCACAAAATGAGATGCATTGTGGGACATGTAGTTCATGGACAAGTGATATTTGTGAACACACCTGTACGCTTTCTTTAGTTCCTCTGGCGACGCTCCTTTCTTCAAATCAAGGATCTTATAAAGGCTTTCTCCTGCCGTCGACATTTTACGCTGAGGTCTGTTTTGGTCCTCCATGATTCAGGATCTGGAAGCTGGAACAAGTAGAATATAAAGATATACATTATAGGAGAGGACTCTTTAAAGTAGAGACACTACATACTGATATACACCTGAACATCAGCAGGAAAGGACTCTTTAAAGTAGAGACACTACATACTGATATACACCTGATCATCAGCAGGAGAGGACTCTTTAAGTAGAGACACTACACACTGATATACACCTGAACATAAACAGGAGAGGACTCTTTAAAGTAGAGACACTACACACTGATATACACCTGAACATCAACAGGAGAGGACTCTTTAAAGTAGAGACCCTACATACTGATATACACCTGACATCAGCAGGAGAGGACTCTTTAAAGTAGAGACTCTACATACTGACATACACCCCAACCGTCAGCAGGAGAGGACTCTTTAAAGTAGAGACGTACTACATACTGATTATACACCTGAACATCAGCAGGAGAGGACTCTTTAAAGTAGAGACCACTACATACTGATATTACCACCTGAACATCAGCAGAGAGGGTACTCTTTTAAAGTAGGCGACACTAATACTGATATACACGCTGAACATCAGCAGGAGAGACTCTTAATAAATGGATAATCAGAGAGCGACTCTTACAGTAGAGACACTACATACTGATATACACCTGAACATCAGCAGGAGAGGACTCTTTAAAGTAGAGACACTACATACTGATATACACCTGAACATCAGCAGGAGAGGACTCTTTAAAGTAGAGGACACACATACTGATATACACCTGAACATCAGCAGGAGAGGACTCTTTAAAGTAGAGACACTACATACTGAATATACACCTGCAACATCAGCAGAGAGGACTCTTTAAAGTAGAGACACTACATAATGATATACACCTGAACATCAGCAGGAGGAGGACTCTTTAAAGTTAGAGACCACTACATACTGATATCACCTGAACATCAGCAGGAGAGGACTCTTTAAAGTAGAGACACTACATACTGATATACACCTGAACATCAGCAGGAGAGGACCTCTTTAAAGTAGAGACACTACATACTGATATACACCTGAACATCAGCAGGAGAGGACTCTTTAAAGTAGAGACACTACATACTGATTATACAACCTGAACATCAGCAGGAGAGGACTCTTTAAAGTAGAGACACTACATACTGATATACACCTGAACATCAGCAGGAGAGGACTCTTTAAAGTAGAGACACTACATACTGATATACACCTGAACATCAGCAGGAGAGGACTCTTTAAGTAGAGACACTACATACTGATATACACCTGAACATCAGCAGGAGAGGACTCTTTAAAGTAGAGACACTACATACTGATATACACCTGAACATCAGCAAGAGAGGACTCTTTAAAGTAGAGACACTACATACTGATATACATCTGAACATCAGCAGGAGAGGACTCTTTAAAGTAGAGACACTACATACTGATATACACCTGAACATCAGCAAGAGAGGACTCTTTAAAGTAGAGACACTACACACTGATATACACCTGAACATCAGCAGGAGAGGACTCTTTAAAGTAGAGACACTACATACTGATATACACCTGAACATCAGCAGGAGAGGACTCTTTAAAGTAGAGACACTACACACTGATATACACCTGAACATCAGCAGGAGAGGACTCTTTAAAGTAGAGACACTACATACTGATATACACCTGATCATCAGCAGGAGAGGACTCTTTAAAGTAGAGACACTACACACTGATATACACCTGAACATCAACAGGAGAGGACTCTTTAAAGTAGAGACACTACACACTGATATACACCTGAACATCAACAGGAGAGGACTCTTTAAAGTAGAGACACTACACACTGATATACACCTGAACATCAACAGGAGAGGACTCTTTAAAGTAGAGACACTACATACTGATATACACCTGAACATCAGCAGGAGAGGACTCTTTAAAGTAGAGACTCTACATACTGACATACACCCCAACGTCAGCAGGAGAGGACTCTTTAAAGTAGAGACACTACATACTGATATACACCTGAACATCAGCAGGAGAGGACTCTTTAAAGTAGAGACACTACATACTGATATACACCTGAACATCAGCAGGAGAGGACTCTTTAAAGTAGAGACACTACATCACTGATATACACCTGAACATCAGCAGGAGAGGACTCTTTAAAGTAGAGGACACTACATGCTGATATACACCTGAAACATCAGCAGGAGAGGACTCTTTAAAGTAGAGACCACTACATACTGATATACACCTGAACATCAGCAGGAGAGGACCTCTTTAAAGTAGAGACCACTACATACTGATATACACCTGAACATCAGCAGGAGAGGACTCTCTAAAGTAGAGACACTACATACTGATATACACCTGAACATCAGCAGGAGAGGACTCTTTAAAATTAGAGGACACTACATACTGATATACACCTGCACATCAGCAGGAGAGGACTCTTTAAAGTAGAGACACTACATACTGATATACACCTGAACATCAGCAGGAGAGGACTCTTTAAAGTAGAGACACTACCATACTGATATACACCCTGAACATCAGCAGGAGAGGACTCTTTAAAGTAGAGACACTACATTACTGATATACACCTGACATCAGCAGGAGAGGACTCTTTAAAGTAGAGGACCATACATACTGATATACACCTGAAACATCAGCAGGAGAGGACTCTTTAAAGTAGAGACACTACACACTGATATACACTGAACATCAGCAGGGAGAGGACTCTTTAAAAGTAGAGACACTACATACTGATATACACCTGAACATCAGCAGGAGAGGACTCTTTAAAGTAGAGACACTACATACTGATATACACCTGAACATCAGCAGGAGAGGACTCTTTAAAGTAGAGACACTACATACTGATATACACCTGAACATCAGCAGGAGAGGACTCTTTTAAAGTAGAGACACTACATACTGATATACACCTGAACATCAGCAAGAGAGGACTCTTTAAAGTAGAGACACTACATACTGATATACATCTGAACATCAGCAGGAGAGGACTCTTTAAAGTAGAGACACTACATACTGATATACACTGAACATAGCAAGAGAGGACTCTTTAAAGTAGAGGACACTACATACTGATATACACCTGAACATCAGCAGGAGAGGACTCTTTAAAGTAGAGACACTTACATACTGATATACACCTGAACATCAGCAGGAGAGGACTCTTTAAAGTAGAGGACACTACACACTGATATACACCTGAACATCAGCAGGAGAGGACTCTTTAAAGTAGAGACACTACATACTGATATACACCTGAACATCAGCAGGAGAGGGACTCTTTAAAGTAGAGACACTACATACTGATATACACCTGAACATCAGCAGGAGAGGACTCTTTAAAGTAGAGACACTACATACTGATATACACCTGAACATCAGCAGGAGAGGACTCTTTAAAGTAGAGACACTACATACTGATATACACCTGAACATCAGCAGAGAGGACTCTTTAAAAGTAGAGACACTACATACTGATATACATCTGAACATCAGCAGGAGAGGACTCTTTAAAGTAGAGACACTACATACTGTATACACCCTGAACATCAGCAGAGAGGACTCTTTAAAGTAGAGACACTACATACTGATATACACCTGAACATCAGCAGGAGAGGACTCTTTAAAGTAGAGACACCTGCACCTCGTTGTTCCCATAGTGCGTCTCTTATTATCTGCGTAGTTTCTTTATCTTATAGACTAGTCTCTACATTAGGATTTGCATGTTAACTCAATAAAAACGAAACAATAAAAAAATGAAAACCCAGGCCAGCTATATCAACTTGTATCTCTGGGGGTGAATAATAACTATAATAACAATTCCTAACTGAGTACAAAGTCACATTTAAAGCACTTTTAATTGCTTATAAACTCTTTGAGGAAGTAAATAAAGCCAAATAAAAGGTGAAGTCCAGCATGCTGGGAGTCCAGACAGCCCATCATATTGGCTATAATGCTAGATAAACAAACATAGTTTCAGTTCATTTAAAAACGCACTTTCCTAGACTCAGATATTTAACTTTAAACACTTTTATTAAAGTTAAATCCTGCCGGGTGACGTCACGACCAACTGCTAACAGAGCTAGCTAACTTTAGCATCAGCGTTAAATCTCACCTCCTGGAAGATGTCCTCTTTCTGTGTCAGATCATAAAGTCCCGAGTGTCTCCGCTGCTGCTGCTGCTAACGTGTGTCCCATAAAGTGGAGCAGTTTGTCGGGTGTTATCTTTTAAAAACTTCTCCTGGTGAGAAACAGGAAAAAGTTCCGCAGAGAAGCAGGAAGTCACCGCAGACCGGAAGTACGTCACTTAAACCCACGTAACTTTATGAAAACAAAAACGATTAAAAAAAAGTATTTATTATTAACATTACTTTAAATCAACGCAGCATTCCAACCAAATCAATACAAATAACACCAATTTGTTTATGTTTTAATTTATAATTCATATGTAAATATTGATTATCCCTGACACATTATAGTCAAACATTATTAACATTTATTTTTAAATCTGACTACCGTTTATATCCATGTAATCCTGAGTCGTCTGATTCTCACCTCACTTCTCCTCTGATGGCTCTCTCAGGATTGTTGACATCCTCCTGGATCCATCTTCTTCTTCTTTTATTATTATTATTATTATTATTATTTATAGACACATGCATTCTCCGGCATCTGGGCTAGATGTGTTGTAAATGTATTATCTTTTTAATTTACACACGACATCTATTGCACATCAGTCCGTCCTAGAGGGTGTCGCAGTCTGCTCCCTCACTCACCTATTTCTGCAATAGCACCTGGTAGTCACACCCTGGCCGTGTCTCATTTCTGAGATTCCCCTCCTCGACTCCTATCCTCGTGTCTCAGTCCCGCCCGCAGGAGGAGCCGAGGAAGGGAGCCGAGGAGAGAGGAGGGGAGCCGAGGAGAGAGGAGGGGAAGCAGCAGGCGGTTAGAGAAAGGAGAACTCCTCTCCTCTGAGCGGTCATTTTAAAGAGACGTCCTTTAATGATGACAGGAGGCAGCAGCCCTGTGTCTGATGGACAGATGTGTTCATGACCACTTCTATATTTACTTTGATTCATTCACAGTGCGGTGTCATGAGACAATAACAGGCTACAGATGAGGACACACACACACACCACACACACACACACACACACACACACACACACACACACACACACACACACATATGTATATAAATATATACAATTTCAGAATCAAACAAGTATGAGAGCACTCTCATAATAACGTAACACTATCAGAGACTGGATATACTCCCCCCCCCCCCCCCCCTCTCTCTGGTCGCTACAATGAGGAAAATAAATTACGGGCCAAAAGTTGTATTTACAAGTATTAAAGTAAGCAGAGGACACCAAACCAACTGAGACCTGTCGGTCCGCCGCATCTACACACACACTGTACCACACACACCTACACACTGTACCACACACACCTACACACTTTACCACACACACCTACACACTGTACCACACACACCTACACACTGTACCACACACACCTACAGCTGGGTCATTCTACAGAAAAGGTGGAAGTGCTGTCACTTACCTTTGCAGACACCAAAATACATGACGTTGACCTAATACTCACATTATATGTTGGATAAATAGAGATTGTCTTAATGGAACTAAATTAAACAATTAAAAAAATTGCAATTGATTTTAAAATGCCAAGTTCAAGGAACTGCCTTGTCACTTTGATCATACGTGGAAGTGGAGCCTATAGTTTTCATTTCAAATGTCTTTTTTTCAATAAATAAATCGCATTCATATTTACATAACATTACATACATTAAATATAGGCTAACACTGAAATGGTACAAAAAACGCAAATTATTATTAATAATATCCAATAAATGTCAGTCACCCAAAATGACATCATTGGTGTTGCTGCTACACAAAACGCTTTTATTCTGAAGTGATGAACTCTCTCTGAAGTGCCTCCTGTAACAAGGATCCTTTGAGGCACAAAGACATAAGTCAGATGCTTCTTACTTTGTTTGTTAAAGGTGTCATTTTATCTTCAAAGTTACGTACTTTCAAGTCTGTCATAGTGTTACTCATTGCATAGCCCTAGGGGTGAACATTGGAATGGGAAAATGTATTGAAGAGTTAAACAATTTTGATATTGACTGAAGCTCATAAAGTATGTGGTCTGACACATGGCAGCCATTTTGTTAAAATTGTAGTGTTTTCTCCAAATTGTCCCTGGTGTTACTCTTCTTCCTGGTAACACGTAACACCAGTGACGTTCCTATGTAAATAAGCTTAATGTAAAAATATTTAAAAATAATAAAAATACTTTAAGCTCCACTTGTTGTGGATTCATCAAGTTAAGAGTTAGTTATTGCTATTTAACAGGTTTTAGATGTGTTTAGAAGGAATATATTTCAGCAGATTTGTATCACCCAGATTCCACCTTTTCTGTAGAATGACTCCAACCTAGTCTCACAAAAAAACATGTAATAACTACGTTGGTCCACAACTTGGGACGTAGTCCATCCATCCATCTTCTCCGCTTATCCGTGGTCGGGTCTCGGGGGTAGCAGTTCCAGCAGAGAGCCCCAAACTTTCTTTTTCCTGGCGACATCAACCAGCTCTGACTGGGGGATCCCAAGGCGCTCCCAGGCCAGCGAAGAGATATAATCCCTCCACCTGGTCCTAGGTCTACCCCTTGGTCTCTTCCCAGCTGGACGTGCCTGGAACACCTCCATAGGGAGGCGCCCAGGTGGCATCCTAACTAGGTGCCCGAACCACCTCAACTGGCTTCTTTCGACGAGAAGGAGGAGCGGCTCAACTCCGAGTCCCTCCCTGATGACCGAACTTCTCCCCTTATCCCTAAGGGAGACACCAGCCACCCTGCGGAGAAAACCCATCTCGGCCGCTTGTATCCGCGATCTCGTTCTTTCGGTCATGACCCATCCTTCAGGACCATAGGTGAGGGTAGGAACGAAAATGGCCCGGTAGACAGAGAGCTTTGCCTTCTGGCTCAGCTCCCTTTTCGTCACTACGGTGCGGTAAAGCGACTGCAGTACCGCTCCCGCTGCTCCGATTCTGGGACGTAGTATTTCTACAAAAACGCCTCAATAGTTTTCTGTGTGGGGAACAACATCACTCGTAATCTCTATCCTTCTCATAATTACAAAAATAGTCTGCTAAATGTTCTAATCTGCTACTTCTAATCTGTGGATGCTTTATGTGTAAATGCAATATGCTACTCTCGATTTTTTAAATAACATTAAACCTCTCCCTCCTGTGGTGACATATGGCTCAATGTAGCTGGATCTCAAAATACCCTTGGGCTGCAGATGCATCACCTGGTGGTCTGGCCCTCTGAGCTTCCTCATTGTTGTGGTTGATACCAGGCTGTCAGTGGCATTTGGTTCATGTTTGGCACCCCTGGGGTAACTGGAGGGCCGTTGTTCGGTGCAATGTTCTGCGGACACTCTCTGGACCAATGTGTCAGCTGACCACATTTGTAGCAGCCTTCATCTGTTCTTCGTCTTGATCGTTGCTCTCCTCTCCATTGTCCTTTCTGTTGATGCTGTATCTGAATCTCTGGCGCTACCTGAGTTTGAACTGTTGGAGGTGTCTGCACTACGGTCTCTGTTAGTATGGCCTTCTCTGTAGTTGCCATTTGCCTTGTCGCTTTCTTGTTTTTATTAGCTTCGTTATCTTTCTCAGCTGTATCCTCAGAAGTCTAAATTGTAGTGCTTCCATTTCTTCATCATTTTCCCTTTTTGCTGCCTGGTCTTTCATATCGTGGTGAATGAGATGTTGTCTCCATTCTTCAATGGGTTTAGCGACTAAAGCCACCTCGTCTCCCAGGCGTGCCTGCACTGATGGGGGAAGGGCTTTAGTGACCGCGTTCTGCCACAACATTACGATAGCCGGAGAAACGTCATGTCGTTCTCCAGTGCTGGCCTCCCACACTCCTTCACATCTCTTCAGGAAGGCATGCATGTCTTCCTCCGTGCCTTTCCTCAGGCTGGTGAGGGCATGTAAACGGTGTGTTGTTGGGTAGATGTGTCGAATAGCGGCCCAATAATTCGACCTGATGTAGTTGAATGGAGTGTCATCTGAGTCGTGCGTGCAATTGGCCGGTAGCATGAGTCTTCTCAGTTACTGTTGTTGTGTCTGGAGAACCTTCGCCCTCTCTTCTCTTGAGTTGTGCTTCCATTCTTTTGCTGAGGTCTTCCATTCTACTGTGGAGTTCCTCCTTCAGTTGGTTGACTTCACCAGATAGGAGTCTTACCTCATACTCCAAGTCTTTGACACGTGTAACTGTGGGGAGACCGTCCAACTCCAATACTCCTCCTACAGCACCAAAAGTTGGGGCTTGTATTGAGGGTTGAAAGAAAAGGTGTTCTTCTGTCATGTAGGAAGGAGGCGCATCTGTCAAGCTTGGATGGAGCTTTGAAGGTTGGATAACTGGAGCTTCTTCTGTCTTTTCTTTCTTATCTTCCTTTGCTGTGAGCTCTGCTCCTTGAGCCACATACATGCTGTTCGTTGATCCTTGGCTGACATATTTTAGATGGAGTACCAGACTTGTAAGATTTTTCTGTAGCCCCGGACAATCCTCCCTCAATAATATAATACATTGACCGTGCTTTACGTGAACTTCATCATGACACTAGAGAGGACTGCAGGACTGTAATTTCCCATGTTCGGTGAATGCAACAGAGGCACCAGACCAATCAGAGAGTTGCATGGAAATAAACGTGTGCTTGTTTCATTCAAGCTCGGCTCTGTGTGTGTGTGGCAATAGCGAGAGAGAGAGAGAGAGAGAGAGACCGGTGCCAGCAGCAGGGACCGTGATGTTAGCATCTGGTTAGCTAGCTGCACTAACGGACATAAGGAGCTGTTGGTTCCACAACAAGCTGGAGGAGAGTCCTCTCCTCTCAGTCTGAGAGGCTCAGGTGAGCTAAAGGACTCTCTGAGGGTTTAGATAGTTCACTTTAGTCTTGCATTCACACCTAATAGTCCGCTTCTCTGGTGCGCACCAGACCACAGTTTGTTCCATTGTTTCATTTTCCAGAAGGTTCGGTTTGCGTTCGGCCAAAACTCAAACGGACTATAAACTTTAAACACAAGTCATGTGCTCGGAAATGCTGTTCAACCATTGGTCAGACATTAAGGGGGTAAAAACGCAAATCCCGGCAATTTCTACCAGAGGCCTCCGCCATTGAGCATCGGCAACTTTCTGCAGGTTTATTCTCATGCTGCTGTTAATCTGGAGATCAACAGACTCTAGACTACTTTTATGTAGCTGACGGAGCATTTCTTTACACGACACTGTTC